TAGAAAGGACTGAAGTGCTTCTCAGCCAGACCTCCACAGTGGCTGTGTTAAGTTAGGGCTACATGTAGGGTGCCACCTTCTCTGTTCCACTTTACCATTTTCAGAGAGCTATTCATGATCCCCTTCAAGCCTCCTTATCCAGTACTATTTCTTAGGTTTCTTTGCTAATAGATTATACTTGAACCCATTAACCTCCTAACCCAGGTTTAAATGTGGTCACGTTGCACTTCTAATTTCTTTGAATCATCTACAACTCTACACCATGATAATATTTCTCAACATGCATAATTGGACGACCAGCCCTTTCCTTAGCACTAGGTGTGGCTCAGTGCTTCCTTCCCCAGTATCCTGCACTCAAGGCAATTGTAGTTAAACACTATAGTTCTCAGGATAATCTTTGGCTCTTAGTCAAATGAAAAGAATGGCAGAGTAAGAGAGTAAGCTAAATTCTAAATAATGGATCTTGGTAGAATGTTTTAATCCCCCAAAGTGAATAGGCAAGTTATCAAGATCCCAGGTCAACTTGGTGGAATTTCCACCTGTAGGAGGCAGACTGTGATTGCCCAATTTCCCATATCCAGGTTAAGTCCTAGATCAACTGGCAAATGCCCAGTGGTCTTCAAGGTAAGTCTGGGATGAGATTAAGTTTTCTGTAAGTAATCTCTCTCACATACACACACACACACACACACACACACACACACACAGTAGATATGATGGACCTTAGAAATTCTCTAGTGCAGGGGCTTTCAATTATTTTTTCTTAATAGTTAAACTCCCTGCCCCATCTTTTAAAAAATAAAATATCATTTTGAACTATATCATAAAAGGCAAATAGAAGTGGAGCTGGTATGATTCTCCAAGGGCCCAGTCTCCTACTAGGGAGTCTTCCATCAGTAGGGTCAAATACAACCTTGTGCTTCAAATGAGGACAGTAAGACCCAGGGAGGTTACATACGTTGGTCACACAATTAGTGTCAGAGGAAGGTCTCAAACCAAGGACTCTAGACTATCAGGCCAGTGTTTTTCCCTATGTACACTGCCTCCAATTAGTGAACTGTTTGGATTATTAATCATGTTCTCTCCTCTGGTAGTCCAGCCTGCCAGCTTCACAGGCCTTACTTCTAGGCTCCCTGAATGTGACTATAGGTCAGTGGTTCTCAACCTGTGGGCCGCGACCCCTTTGGTGGTCAGACAACCCTTTCACAGGCGTCGCCTAAGACCATCCTGCATATCAGATATTTACATTACGATTCATAACAGTAGCAACATCACAGTTATGAAGTAGCAATGAAAATAATTTTATGGTTGGGTCACAACATGAGGAACTGTATTTAAAGGGCCAGAAGGTTGAGAACTATTGCTATAGGTGGTTTAGGAGTCTGGTTGCTTTACCTGTAGGTGGACATAGTCATAATCATCCATCCAACTCCTTTCAGAGCCATCACTGCTGCTACAGTCAGCTACGGGCTGATCCTTGCTCAGGTGTAGGGGCACCGCCTTGTTGAGGGGCTGGGTTTTGTGGTCTCCAGGATGCAGCAGCTGCATCTGGGATCCAGCATGGGGGTACTCAGTGGAGTTCATGATGCTCTCGGGCCCATTCTTCACATGGGAGCTGCCGGGGCCTGGCCTAAAGAGGGCTTCTGCATTGGTGTTGATTGTTGTGGTGAGCTGCTTGGCATCATCAGGCACCGATTTTGCCACCATCACAAAGCGGTCCAGATCATCACACTTGTTTTGGGGCTTGTTGACCGCCAGGATATTCAGGGACCAGCTGCACTCATTTAAGTCATGGCTGGTTTGGCTCAGAATCTGGTGGGAGTCTTCCACTCTCTGCAGCTCCCGCTTCATTTTGTTGTAGAGAATGAGTTCCGGGAGGCAGGAAGCATTTGCTACAGCGCCCTTGGCAAAATGCAGGTAGTCCCTCAAGAACAACTCCACCTTGTCCACTGCGGTGCGTATCTCATTGATGTGTCGTTCCATGTATCCATAGCACCTCCAGTCCGTGGTCGTGACCAGTGCCATTAGGCTGGAGACGCCCATCTCCAGGGTCTGCTGGAGCCGATGGAGTCTCTCAATGGCTGTGTCTGGGTCCAGAAAGAGCCTTTTGTCCTGAGATGGGGAGGCTGAGAGTGAAGATTCCTTTGAGGTGGTGGAAGATGTGGACATATTACTCCTGGTGCTGCCTGTACTGGAGAAAGATAATCGGTTGATGCCATCTACCACATCCTGAGTGCTTTTGGCGTCCGCTGGGTTGTGCAGAGGGACATCGTAAACACCGTCTCTTTCTTCAGGGTTTGCTTTCTCACTGGTTTCTGCTGGTGGTTCCAGAAACTGTACCCCTCGAGGGACATCATACGCATCATTCTGAGTGCCCCCTGACAGTCCCAGCAGTGAGGGTGGGTGTTTCAGGGAAATGCTTGGGTGTCTTTGTGCTACCAGTTCAGCAGCTCCCGTAGCATCACAGTTATATTTCATGTGAAGGTCATTTCCCACCAGTTTGGTACTGGTCGGGGGGATGTCATACACGCCCTCAGGTCTGACATCTGGCCTTCCAGCTTGTCTCATTGGAGGGGGGAAATCATACTCTTTTTCCCTGAGCCCTGCTTCATCTCGGCAAGCAGAGGGTGGAATGGCATATACCTGAAAAGTAAGTAGAAACCGAAGCTAGTATTTGTTGAGTTGGCTCATGTGAACAGGGAAACAACTACACATTAAAATGAAGGCCTGACCCTGGCCAGTGTATCTCAGTGGTTAGAGTGTCAGCCCATGCACCAAAGGGTCCAGGTTTGATTCCTGGTCAAGGGCAGGTACCTGGATTGCAGGTTTGATCCTGGACCCTGGTTGGGGAATGTGTGAGAGACAACCAATCAGTGTGTCTCTCTCACATCAATGTCCCCCCCCCTCTGTCTCCTTCCCTCCCCAAACCCTCCCTTCCAGTCTCTCTAAAAATGAATGGAAAAAATATCCTTGGGTGAAGATTAACAACAACAACAAACAACAAAAAGAAAAAAAGAAGAAGGCCTGGATTTTCAGGCCTGTTTACTGCCTCCTCTTCTTCCACCCTAACCCACTAATGAGAGGTATTTCCAAGGTCCCACTCTGCTCCCACTTCCTTCGTCCCTCCCCTGGCCCCAGTGCTGCCTGTTATGTGTGCTCTGCTGGCTGAGTGGCTCTCTCTGGGTCCCAGCCTTGGAGGATTCAGGCTGAGAGGCAGAGTATGCATGAACACACTGCACTAGGTGTCAGAAGACCTCAGGTCTCTCCCTGCGTCTACCAGCTGTGTGATACTTCATAAGTCACTTGGGTGTTCTGAGACACACTTCCCTCATCTGTAAAATAAGGATAACTGTACTTCCATGTAGGCCTCCTCCTGAGGGTAGCAGAGTGAATCAAATTCATTAACACAAATACATGGACAGAGTGTGCTGTGACACTCTATATACATATGACATATATTAGTTGCTTGCCAAACTGAATGAATGATTTTACCTTCTTATTGACTCTCCTTATTGACTACCCTGTTTTTAGGGGCGGGGGGGAAGGAGGACTCTAAATATGGAATCCATAGGGTTATCTTTAGTTATTGCCTTTTCTTCCTCACTTTCTCCTTCCCTCCCATCCCTTTAGTCTCTCCCAGAGACTAGTTTTTCTTTTGGTTTGTCCTGCCTGCTTCATCCCAGTAAATAAACACACACACCTTTTGCTGCTCTGTAGGAGCTCACTTACCCCTTTAGTAGGAGGGATGTCATAGACCCCTTGAGGTTTCATCTCTCCCCCTGGAACTGAAAACACCGGGCCTTTCACCGATGACGGAGGGATATCATATACCTGAAAATAAATACCTGAGTTCAGGGATGTCTTATACTTGCCATTTTTTATGCATTCAAGCTTTGAACTAGGGATTTATTTACCAGTTTATGTACATCCTTCCTCTTTTACAGCATTCTATATAACATGGAGTTGGTGAAATTTTTTTTAATTTCTTATTTTTTTTTTTACTTAGATTGAATGTAAAAATGATCATAAGTGAAATATCTACACTGTCTGTACTTTAAACTGTAGTTGATATTATATACTTCCTGAAATAAAATGATAAATTGATAAGCAACAAAAGCTTTGTCAGACAAAAGCCTAGGATTTCTTGATAAAGCAAATCCAGGAAATATAATTTAATAATGTTGGCTACAAGGGCTCCTGAATAGACAAATCAAGCTTCATATGAAATGTACATAATTTGTAATTTTATTTTTACATGTAGTGCTGAAGGAATGCCACCTGAAGTGCTCCTGTCCCATGGGGACCATGGGCCTGGTACGTACCCCTTGAGTGGAATGGGAAGGAGGGATATCGTAGATGTCCTTTTGGTATCTAGATGGGTACTCGTACACATAGCCATGGCCTGTCCGCACGGGGGTTACCACCTGTGGGCAAGAAGACAGAGAAGTGTAAAATTGCAAGGCCAAGTTCTAAGTAAATCTCCTAGCCTCCTCATCGGACACTCTTCCCTCACTGCCCCCATCAAAAGAAAGAAAAAAATAACGAAAAACAACAATAACAACAAAACAACCCAAAGAAACAGAAAAGGGAGAAAAGGAAGGAGACAAGGGGACACGAGGCCAATAAACTTTAATTCCTCCTGAATCCTCATGAAGAACAAGTCCCTGAAATATCTCTATCTCCCTTCCCCATGGTAACAAAATCATCTCAAAGCTGGTCAGATAAAGACTCAATTCCCAAAATGTGCTTGAAGGGAGAACCACTTTTAAGTTGTGAATACCCTAGATTATTGCTTTGGAGCCTCAAAAGCCGGGCATAGTGAAAAAAAAAATTTAAGGCTCTGAAACTATTTGTAAAATGAATAATGCAAATTGAGTTCAGCCACTTAAAATTCCTCTCATGCCTTCCCCAGGACGCCTCTTCATCTGCCATTATTATGATTATAACTAAAATTCCACAGGTCACTAGAGTACTTTCATGAAACCAATGCTCACACAGTGCTGCCTTTAGAAGCCTCCAGTAGCTTTCAATCTAATGTAGGAAACAAATTAAACACGGAGTCAGGGAGTCCTAGGAACAGAGCGCGGGGCTCTAATCATTCTCCCATTTCCACCAGGGAAGCAAACATCGCAGACAGTGTCCAAGTCCAAGGGCCGGCAGAAGCCAAATCCACGCATCACAAACCGGGGGCCAATGTCAATCACACCAATTGCACCCAACAGGCTTGTGTTTTCATATCTACATACTTCCCTGTGTCCTAAGCACGGATAGAGAAATTATTTGAACTTATACTCATTTTGAAATATATTTAATCCTCCCAAGGCTTCTAAATTGCCAGGGTCTTATTTCTGCCTAACCCCTGCCCCTGAATGACTGAACGGCGCCCACCTCCGTGTTGCCCATGGAATTTTTGAGAACAGATCTTGCAAATTAGGAGGAGTTGATTGTTCCCTAAGAAATCGTCATCTTTAATCCTTTCTCTAATATGAAAACTCTGGCGTCAGGCTGCCTACAAACGATGTGAAAAATGCTCATGTCTGTCTTGTGCTGAAAAGGGTGGAACTCAGCCAAATGCACCAATGCTCTTCTCCCCAGTGGCTCTAAAATGCCCCAGTTCAGTTTGGTTTTAAATCCCTGATGCTTGTGGCTGATTGCTTCTTGCAATGAAGGTAAAAGAGATTAGAATGCAGTCACCACTCCATCAAATCTCTCCACTGCCTTCAGTTTAAAAAAAGAATCTGTTGCTTTAAGGTTTGTTGGCACAGAGCATACAGAAGTATTCTATCGAGTAGCCACTGTGTTGTGCAGAGCAAACCTTCCTTATTAAAGCAGGATGCCCTTTGCTCAAGAAAAACACACTGTTCCTAATGCCCTCATATATATATATACTCTTCACTACTGTTGAGGAGAGAAATAAAGTATCTTCTCTTTGTCTTTCTCATCAGCTCCTCTATTTGGCTTTATAGTAGCACACGCTCACAACGCAGCCTTTGTTCATTCTAAAAGTTTCTAATAGCAGATTCTCTGCAAGGTTGCCAAGTTAGCAATACTGCTAATGGAAAACCAAGGCTGGTTATGCCGAACAGCTTCATCTTTAGTTTAAGAAGGGAGGGGGGTGGGCGGTGTTGGGATCTGAAAATAACCCTTGCTGAAATGTAAACACAGGACATGACCTCGGGAAGGCGGGGCATGGACAAGGCTTTTCCTTGCCTGCTTCCCTGGCAAAGCATTAATGCTTCCCAGTATTTAACTTCTCACTTCCTGACAAATGTCACGGAACCCCAACTTGCTCTCTCTTTCTCATTTAGAGGATGCCTGTGGTCATCTGTTTTTTTGAAAAACTTTGTATTCCAAGCCAGTCATTTTCCCTTGTTTATGCATTAAAAGAAACAGATGGTGCAAACCACAGGGGGATAAAGCCAACAAAACACAACCTCCCCGCTTCCAGCATTCCCAGTGTTGCCATCTAATTCACATTGGTCCACAAATGGCCTTTACATGGGACCAGCATTTGCATCTGGTCAGACACATCCAGGGAGTACAGTAATGCACTCTGACGCCCGAAAGAATGTGGAGCTGGAAATGGACTTCTGGACGCTCTCCTCCCCTGCCCATCGCTTGGGTCGCTTTCCTGCCAATTAATTGTGTGTTTTCTCCTCAGGGGAAAGTGCTGACTGTTCTGTACCTTACAAAGTATCCAGTTTTGTGGTCCATCAGGCCTTTGCTTCCTGCTTGACGTAGTACTGTCCCTGAATTACTGAACCCCAGCCTACCAGGAACACCAAGGTCTAGCAAAGGGGACATAGGTTTTGGGAGAATTCTCCTGAGCAGCTGCCAGCAAGGTACTGGTGCAACTGCCACACAAAGGGCATTTTAAACTAATTTCCTCAATGAAATTCCCAGTTATGTCTTCATTCCCTTACCCCCTTCCCTCCCCGTTCATTTTTCTTTTCTGCGTTCCTTTCCTTCTATGTATTTATTTATAGCTACAAGAGCTTAGACTTAGGAATGACCAAACTGACCTCCTAGCTCATTAGTGCTGCCACCAAGGGGCTAAGCTGTGGGATTCCTGGGCTCTATGACTGACGCTGCTTTCCTGATCACCCCGGAGGAGGACTGGCACTTGCCAAAGCTGGGTTTCCTGTCCCGATGAGGAATCGGACCTTCCTCAGCTGTCAGTACCATTCTTGTCAGCTAACGAAGGAGTCTGAAGGTGGACACTGAGGCAGAGAGAAAGGGCTGACCGTAGACATTCAGAACAGGGAGAGTCCATTTAATAAATCGCCGACCTCCCTGGCAGGGTAGGATGAACAGCGCAGGGACTGGGTTGTGTCAGCTTTCTCACTAACGGGCTTCCTTAAAAACAAGGAGTCTGGCACGCCCCACACTTCGATGTGTTTGATTTATACAATTTTGGGCCTCAGGTCCTGGGCAGCATGAGCTGTTTTTAGAGATGCTTTAAATACGTCCACATCTCCTAATTTTGAGAGCCGTGCATGCTGACATTTTAAAGAGGAGTCTGTCTTTGGGGTAGCAGCCAGATGTAGGGAACCCTGAAAACTAACCCATGTGGGAATCCGTGAGCTGGAATAGAGGCCCTTGGGGTCTGTCATTCATGTCTCCACATTTGGTTCAGCTGAGCTTGCACCTGGCCTGCTGCTTAGACACCTGTGGGGCTGAGCAGATAGGGTGAAGGGAGAAGCAGGCTGAGTTCTGTGTAGGGGAGACAGACGTGACACCCTACTGAAAAGAGGCAGCTATTCCTTCAGTTCCAGTCAACTGCCATCCTGAAAAAGTACTGCCTGTGTTCCCAGATCTTTCAAGTTTCAGAAGAAACCAGAAATCTGGATTTTTAGGTGAAATCTGATTTTAGAAATTGGCTCAAATATTTCAAAAGCACCTTGGCCAAACTAAGCATGCCTCTGCCCCCCTGGCTGCCAGTCTTTGCCTTCAGTGGTGTGTTCCTGCCCTCCGCCTTCAGGACCTTGAGAGCCTCTGAGGGAGGCTGGACAGCTCTTCGCTGAGTCTGTGCCTTGGCAAGACTCTGCTTTTAATACACATCCTGCCTTCACACCTCTGTGCCTTTATTCATGCTGTGTTTTTGTCCAAGATGCTCTTCTTCCTGTTTCAGATTCAAATTTCATTCAGTTTTCAAGGCCAAGTAGGGTGCCTCTCTCCCATGAAGCCTTTCCCAGACGGGTACAAGAAGTATCTCCCTTGGCACTCCAGGAGCATATCCTCCATACATACCTGAGGACATGGTACTTATCACTTGTGGTTTGACTGTTTCAGTGCCTCATCTCAGCATTGTGGAGACAGAGATCATTCTTCTTCATTTAGAAAAATTTTTAATTGATTTTTAGAGAGAGTGGAAGGGAGAGGGAGAGAGAAACATCAATGTGAGAGTGGAACATAGACTGGATACCTCTTATATGGGCCCTACCAGGGATCAAGCCCACAACTTGGGCATGTGTACTGACTGAGAACAGAACCAGCAACACCCAGGTGCAGGGGACTGTGCCCAACCAACCACTGAGCAACACCAGCCAAGCCATTTTTATTTAATTTATTGATTTTTTACAGAGAGAGAGAGGTAAAAAAAGGGAGAGAGAGAGAGAGAGAGAGAGAGAGAGAGAGAAACATTGATTTGTTGTTCCACTTATTTATGCATTCATTGTGATTCTTATGTATGTGCCCTGAATAAGATCAAACCTACAATCTTGGTGTATTGGGACAATGCTCTAACCAACTGAGCTACCTGGCCAGGGCCAAAATTTAAATTTTTATAGAGTATATTTTCATGCAGTTGGCAAGACTGTAATATATCAAGAAAAAGACTCCGGTGATATGTTCTACGGGGATTTGATTTTTGGCTCTGGGGAACTTCTAGTGTATTAACTCAAAAGAGACTTGCTCAACTCTATACAATTCGTCATTATTCTTATTGGGAATAAAGCAGTCATATTTTAGGATTTGTAAAC